GAGTATAAAGTTTACACCTCCCTTATTTCAGGTACAGAGCAAACAATGGGGATAACACCAGGCTCCCCAAGATACACTACACAAAAGACCTACATATACATTACTACACTACAAAAGCTAACTAATAAGGAGAATTTACAGCGTAGCAAAACCCTTACAACATTAAAATCTAAGGCCTAAGTATATTAACAAACATCAATGGAACAAATAGGAAAAGAAGCCAAAATAGAACAAATATCTTCAACCACCACAGCAATGCTCCATTCTGGCTTGGTTTTTCCAATAATCAGATTATAAATCCCTTTGTCCCTGCACCAAATAGTCACCTTACACCATCCCTTCTCTACTCCACTGCTCAAGCCCGTTCTGAATTCCAGTAGAGTTTTTTCCACTGAGTTAAGTTGTCCTTCCCTCCTAGAAACCCTCCACTAGTATTCATCAATTCCATCACCTTGAGCATGGAATTTGATTATCCAAGAGGCTTGCTCAGAATCTGTAACACTGGGAAATATTACATGTTCCCCTATTCCCTGATTCTGAACTAACCCATTCTGGTGATTACCACTGCCCTCTGTGATATTTTGCAGACTCTCATACTCCAACCATTCCTTTTTTGCACCTTCCACCATCTCAACTTCAGAGCAGAATTCCTTTCTGAATAACCATGCATTTCTAGTCCTCCAGGCCAACCACAACATATAGGTGGATAGAGCTATCATGTTCTTATTCTTCTCTAACCATTTCATTGAGCATAACTCCTGCCACCATCCTTGAAAGTTTACTTGTTCGTGTTCTAGAATTCTCAAAGCCAATCCTGCTATTTTCCAGCATTTCTGAGCCCTGTCACATTTTAAAAATAAGTGATCTAAGTCTTCCTCTGTCTCCCCACACCAACAACATATAGGATGCACACTAATCCCCTTTTGCAACAGCCTTTTTCCTGTTCCCAGCCAGCCATGGAAACATCTCCAAATGAAATTTTTTATCTTAGCTTTAATAGGTAGCCTCCATATTCTGTGCCACACCTGTTTCCTTCCATTTGGGTTTGCACTTGTCCCTACATCACCAGCATGCAACCATATATGTTCTTGTATGGTCTTGTAAGCCACTTTCACAGAGAATTCACCTCTTCTATCTTGATGCCAGACCAACCTATCTTTTGCTCCAGACTTGCTGATATTGATTTTCAGGATTTTCTCAGCATCATTTGGGTCAAAAGTTTGGAAAATTAACTCTCTGTCCCATTCCATTGATCCTGCCTTTAACAAATCTGCCACAGTATGCAATTTTTGCTTGTCACACTCATATCTGCATTTTGGAATAAAACCTGCTATCCCAGGCACCCAAAGGGACTCCCATATATTTATAGAACACCCATTTCCCACTTGATATCTGAGTCCTAACCTAAGAGATTGCCTGCACTCTAGCCAACATTTCCAAACCCATGAGTCAGTGTGTTTCATTTTGACATTTAAGAAGTTTTTCCTATGAAAATATTTTCCTTTCATCAACCTACTCATTAGAATATTTGGCTTTGTAAGCATTCTCCATATTTGCTTGAGAATCAAAGCTTCATTCAACTTACCTAAATCTCTAAACCCTAACCCCC